TCTCTCTCTCTCTCTCTCTCTCTCTCTCTCTGTCCTCCCCTCTTCTCTCTCTTTCTCTACCTCCTTTTCGGCTTATACACCTAACGTTCTACCCGTAGCTTTCCTATTTCTCCGAGACCTCCGACTCCCTGTTGACCCGTAATCCTTTCTTCTTACTCGCTACCACTCGTATATTTGTAAATTCACAGTCCGCTTCCATCCCGCCAGGGTGCACAAAGAAGTATCCCGAGTATCGAAAATCGAAGTCATACCGTCGATCGGATCGGCTCCGCCGAGCCTGTCCTTGCCGTCGTTCCTGTCGTCGTCGTCGTCGTCGTCGGCCTTCTTCTCCTCCTCCTCCTCTCGCCACGGTCGCTGCAATTTTACTTCCTCTCTCTTTCTCTCTACGAAGTACCGCGCTCCAACGATCCCTTTTCTCCCTTCCATGCAGCCTCTTCGCTATTCCTCGGCGCTTCAAGCCACATAATGGTCTCGGGCTTTATCCCGGGCACGTGCTTCCTTGAATTAAAGACTGTCTTCGCGCGCCGGTATGTCGCACGTGGCTATCGTAACGCACAGAACCGGGTCGTATACATGGTCTCGTGCCAACCGGAAAGAGCCGGTTGGAGCATGAAAACTTCAACACGCGCTGCACTGCCACGCTCGCTCTCGCACTTTTCGCGGATCGCAGCGGATCGAATGCCAATTTCGGAGCCAATTCGAGACTCCCTCGCGAGATAGCCGTCGCGACTCCGCGATGAGCGGGCGTAAATATTTTATCGCCCGGCATGTAGCGACTACTACTTTAACGGCGCCAACTAGATGGATGTTAAACATCGTGATTTACGGTCGTGCACGCGCATATCGTCTCCTCGGCAAGCACCCGCGGCGGGACACCTCTCTCTCTCTCTCTCTCTCTCTCTCTCTCTCTCTCTCTCAATGACACCAGCCGACAGGCGCCTCGTTCGTCGACGTCGAGGCGAGCAAATGACTCGAATAATACTCGCTCGTTGATCACGCGGCGGGATCCTTTCCAACAGGTACAAGCGCGACCGACCGGGCTTTATTTTCTTATCGTTACCTCGCGCTTTTTACGATCGGATCGAATGCAAATGATGGCGTCCGGGGGTGGTTTACGGTCGTATTGATCATTCGCGCTCGTATCCTTGATACAAGAATATTGCAGAGAACTTATACATTACATGTGTTTGTGTGTGTGTGTGTGCGCGCATTAAACAAGTTTACGAACAGATCGGGAAACGCCAACGTTTTTTGTTACATCTTTTTCACGAGAGATGAAAAGAGCGTGCAGCAATTTACAAATATCGATTGCAAACGCGAGATATCATTCAACGACGCGTTATTACTGACTGCGCTGAATACTCGAAACCTAGCAAGGAAATAAATCCAGACGATGATCTCCTCGAGATTGAAAATGCGAAATATCAGAATACACATCTCTCTCTCTCTCTCTCTCTCTCTCTCTCTCTCTCTCGCTCCCGTCTGGACCAATATCGTCTTCGAAGGCGGAAAAGCACTCAAAGTCCAGCGAAGTTTCCAACTTAATCCGTCGGCCTCCCAACCCCTACCGTCGAACGGCTTGCATACGCCTATACTCCCTCGCATACTTCTGCGGTCAACGAAACGGTTAAACTATTCGGCCTGATCTTCCGCGGGGCCGTGCGCGATCGGCGCGACAAATCCGATTGTTCCGATGGCATCCTCGATTCGTGGTCGATTATACGTATACAGCACAGCACGGTATACCTCGTGGCGCCCTTGGATGTACGCTCTCGTCATATCGGCCAGCTCGCGAGCAGCGAGCGCAGCGCGAGGGGTTGGAAGGGGTCGGGGGGTCGGACGAATACATCCGCCTCAAATTGATTGGAATTGTTCCCCGGCTGATATCTCGTTCCTGCTGGTTCGTGGTAGCTTCAGATAGACGGTAGGCTGCACCTTGCACGCGGTGAGAGGGACAACCTCGGCTGCTTTGCGTTAGGTTGGGTTAGACTGGGGTTAGTTTAGCCCGGGCTATATCCGTCAGACCGCCTTCGTGTGTTTGCGGAGGGCTACGGACGAGAGCGGGGCAAGGACGAGCGACAACGAAGGGGGTCTTCCCCGGAATTAATTTCGAAGCTTCTACGGAGAGCACCACTTACCGGCGCTTATCGTATCGCCCGATGGGAAGACGCGTTAGGTCTGCTCCGCCGGCATCCGCGGAAAGTATTGAATGTTTACGCTGAGCCCCCGTGGATCAACAACGGCGCCCAGGCGGTGGAGTCGCTCGGGACCAATCGCGCGATTGCGATTGAAATTATAATACGATACAATCGCGCTCGCCGATTAGCGTTATCTCCGTAGTCCCACGCGCCCGGATAAAACAGTCGGTTTGCGCCAAATTCTTGACTCTGATGTCCCGGGCTTTTCAAACGGTCGGAATTTTGCTCAATGCTACGTTGCTCCTGCAAATTCAATCGATTTCGAAGGACCATCTCTCTCAGTGTGTAACACTGTATAGATTATTTTCCTCGGGTACATGCGGCAAATGGTTACTTATTATTGTTTTTTCCACGTTGAGACTCGATATTTTAGAGAATTCCTTCGAACATTTTATATAACTCGCCCTAGTTCCCCCCCCCTCCCCTATTATATTCTGTACTGCTCGCCGCCATGCGGTGAATAATCCCACACGAGAATACGAGCCGATGATGGAAATGCTACGTTAACACGCGTTAATCAACAACAAACGTCGAATGCTACGGGCGATACTTGCAGCACGTACCATCCTGATAACTTTGTCCGCCTCGAAAGTCCCGGAATATTTTCAGTGCGTTGATTGTTGTGATCTCTCGGCTACCGTATGTATTCATACGCGTCCTTGACTGGCGGGCGAGGACGCGCTTGGCGATTGACAGGCGATTGACGCAGCCTTTGTTTTGGTAGGATCTACTCTCGCGTATCGCGCAACTAAGTTATGTTTTGAGCAGGCGAGCGATGTACGTACCGCGACGTGAACCACCGGTGCTTTCGCGACAATTCTTATCGAACGAGTAAAGTATATTTCGTCGATTCTTCAAATATATTTCGTCATCCTCTTCTCCGTCATTCAATCGTTACGCCTCGAGTCGACGGACGACGCCGAGTATATATATTATATCGGTACTTCAATTACAATTACCGAAAGGTAATTAAAACATTTCGCCAGCTGATGAAATATTTAATCGGGCTCTCATCGACGTCATCACGTTAGCTAACAGATGTTTCTCCGAATCGATCGAATCGTATCTACGCGGACATCAGCGACATTGTCAATGTCACGATGGAGTATCCGGATCAGGCACGAGCCGAGATATCGGAAAGCCAGGACAAGAGATGCAGGACACGGGCAATGATATATTATATATTTCCCAATGTGTGATGTCACACATTTCTTGCACAGAACATTCTCAATTTCAACGGACGTTTGGCAAACCCCGAAACTAAGGAAACACCCGAGTAAAAATTTAGAATACATCTGTCGATACTCAAAGTCGAATATTCTGTATAACGATGCAATTTATAAAAATATCGGAAATATATTGCAGATTACTCCTTTATATACTCCGATCTACAATTTACCTTTGTTGCAATAGATGAGATGAAAGAAGGAATCTGATGAGATGGAAGAAGGAATCTGGCCGACTCTGTCACGGATGAGAGGGGCTTGTCGCACTTTATTCGATCACACCGCGTTCGATTCTACCAAATCGGCGATTAAAAATTTACATAGGGGCACATTCGGGAAAGCGTGATAAAGAAATCGTTTATGTTTCACATCGCTACATAGTCTCGTTTGCGAATTTAAAGCCGCGCTTGGCATCAAGTACCGACCCGATCTTAACGCCACCCGGAACGAACGCGCCAACTACGCTGTCGAGCTATATCTTTCTCATGTTATACTCGTCTCCCTCTCCTTCTCTGGCTGCGGTGAATGACCGGCGTGGTGGGGCGACCGCGTGGTCCGCGCGACACGTGGTTCGAGCGGCCAGCTGGTATCGAGACAGCGGAGTGGGGGCAAGGCCGTGCTAGCGGCGTGCCGCGTCACGTACGACGCGATACATTGTATCGCGGGATAGCGATCTAGAATGCGGCCATTGTTCTCCACGCGTCGCGTGCCCTGACCTGCCCCACGGTAGCGCCGGGCTGATCGAGAGAGCGCGGATCGATGCTCGATCCGCTAAAAACGTCGATAACTTCACTTCTAGACGTCGTAGCGGCGTGAAACAAAAACCGTTGTAAAGGGGAAATCATTGCGCGTCTTGTGGATGTATAATCGTTCTTCCGTGGAACGAGGGTCGATTGACACGATTGCGTGAATGCGAAAGAAGTGGTTTTTCGCGTTTATATTAAAACGGAAATTAATCTACGCTAAAAGCCAATGAAAAATCAGAATTCATATTTATCACACGATACGTCGATTTTTTGATTTAACGGGTATAAAACGTAGTTTCGAGAAACAGTCTGTATGATAGTCTGTATTTGAAATTTTTTAATGGTGTTTTAAATTTGGCAAAATTTCCAAAGTTAATGTGAAGCCAATAATTAAATTTGAGAAATAGGCAGTAAATGTTGAAATGAAATATAGATAAATATGTAACATATTTTTGGTTTAACGTCAGGATGAAAGACGGTTGGAATTTGACGTATCAGACGCGATTTAACTTCGGTAAATCCGATTTTATCGTCGAGATCTTAATCATCTGTATTACACTCAAGAGGATAATTCATATTCATGAAACGCGTGCAGAACGACATTTATAATCGTTCCGGTATGCGGACGTTCTGTTTGGAACGATTATGAATTACTGCGCTATAAATTTACCGCAAATAGTATCGCGCCATCGTTTGTAATCGTTGATGCGCATTACGAAGCATTTCAAGTACAAACAACGATATCGATGATCCGCTGCGAGACCAACGCGCGGCAGTCTATCTCATATATCACTTCATAAATATAATAAGATTGATGTAACGAAATTTACGTAGACATCTGTTCCGTGCATTACCGTAAGATTTATAATTGCCGATTCGCTCGTTACACGTCCGTCCGTAACACGCGATCTTTGCCGGCTCGCAAGTCGCAAAGTCAAAAGCATGAAGCACGGTGGGACGAATTGAACAAATAGCACTCGTGCGTAACACGCCCGTGGCCGTAATAAAAGATTATTTATGGCCGGGCGCTTCGGCCGCAACTATAAAAACTTCGGAATAAAGTCGTACTTTACAGTCTGCTAAATGTAGCACCATGAAACGCAACGCCGCTGCGCCGTTGCGCCTAACGTTTTATGGTTTGCAACGGCAACGCGCTGGCGGCAAAACGGCCTGCCAGAGATTAAGAGAAAGATTGCGGAGGACTCACCGCGCGCTGCTTGTGGCCGATACGAGAGATCCGTCGAGTTGTCGTTTTACAGCTTCCAATAGGGCACTGAACGAAGAAACCGTAGCTGAGATTAAAACAGCGGGCTGGATCCCTGCGACTGAAACAAATCGTAAAATATTCAGTTTTTCACACGCGTCTGTTAGAAAATGATTTCTTCAGCAGACAGTATCAATGAGAAACACTAAGTAGCGCGAAGTAATCGATGCGATCATACGACTACGCAGTGCCAAGATCACGCAGACAACAATGTCATCTACGCAAATTCAACGTATACGTATGAAATATTCCGTCCTTTACAGAAAATCTCTCAAAATCGTTCGTCCGAGACAATTTGAAAACAAGCATTGCCGCGCGTAAAAATGAGTGTCGAGTTTATAATACTTTTCGAACAAGCGATTAAAGTGGCAACCGATTGTAGTGGCAAGAGTTTTTAAGTACCGTGGTTGGAAAGTACACGTGTGTCGTTCCATTTTCTATCCTGAAACAGAGATTGCGCACACGTGTGCAATGATAATAAGAGAGACCGCCTCTCTCTTGGCCTCTCTCGGAGAAAAATATTTTATGAGCGGGCAATAAACGTTGTGTGTTCAACAATGTTGCGGAGCGGGCATTGTTGACGCATAGGAGACAAGCTGCCACACGATGATACCCATACACGATGATGCGTGCACATACACAAGCGTGCGCGTGTACATGCGCTTTTTATTGGTTCAAACGTTTCGAAAGTATAAGCTATCGGTGATCGTTGATACGGGAGCGAGTCATATATCATCGATGCATTAATGACATTAAATTGCACAAAACAGCGAAATGCTTTCAAACTTAGCAGGCACCGTTATCACCATGACTTCCGCGATACGTCACGGTTAATATGCACGGGCGCAGTCTATAACCGTAACAATACGTGCTTTGCTTTATATCGCCGCGAGCAATAATTACCGCGGCAGCAAGGTGAACTTCAGTTTCATGAATCCTCCAAGGAAACCGCCGCTGCATTAGATTAGGTAGTTTGACACTAAGGAGGTGAACGTGTATCCAAGCCTAATCTGGAAAGCAATAGTTCGCGTTTACGTCTTAGTGTATTATACTGTTGCCGCCTTATACTGTTACCGCGTTTGATATTCAAGGAAGACTCACTCATCAAATTAGTGTGAATTACGTGGACCGAGCCGAACACGGGCTAGTAAATGTAACGTAAGAGATAACAGACGCGTTCGCGTCGCTCGAGTAATTCATGTCCCACCTAGCGAAAAAAATGTCAATTTGCAAATGCACTAATGCGATATTTCACTCGCATAAAACTGCATCAGGTATTAAACGATATATAAATTTATGAACGATATATCAAAACGGAGATGTGTACGCGGGACCGTGTATGACATCCATGAAATGGTTGAGAGAAGCTTTGCACGCGCGATTTTCTGGAAAGGTCCTGCGTCCCAACTACCTCCTGAATTAGCCGAACAGCTTCCGACCGGTGAGAAATATTTTCAAGCCTCGCGCACAACACAATGTCCGCAATTACTAGATATTAATTAATAATTGTATTAATAACTCTGTTATCCTAGTATTACTATTAAATATACCACTGATTACATTGTCGTGCAATTGCTACTAAATTGCTTCGATTTCAATAAAATATACATATAGCCCGGCGAGCCGTCGTCCAATAAAAATCTAATTGCATAATTAACGGAAATAACAGCCGGCCGAGGTATTCGTGACCAGCGTCGACAATTATTATCCATTTCTCCAATTAATTGATAGAACGTACACAATCGAGCAAGCTCGGCGTGCGGCCCCCCGTACGCGCGCTTAAATTAAACAGCGCCGCCGATGGAATCCTTATTAGGACATTCGCCCTCTCGCTCGCCCGAATAATGCCGCCGCGGTTAAGCAGGTGGAGCCATATCTTTCTCTCATTCCTCGACGTAAGGGGGCGATTCTAGGAAATACGCGTGAGGGATGGCTTCGGCCATTTTATATGACGTGCCGTAGGTAATCCCCATTGCGAAACGATCTGGGCCACGAGCCGAGGAACGACCTTTTTATTTCTCGACCGATTTTACGGCGAGCTCGCTTCCGCATTTATCTCGGCTCTTCCTCCTCCCTTCCTCGCCCACCATCTTCGTTCACCTTCCTTTCTCTCTCTCTCTCTCTCTCTCTCTCTCTCTCTCTTTGTTTCTCCATTCTCCATCCCTTTACCACCGTGCTTCTACTGCGCGACAGGATTTATAACGGCGTCCTTGGTTTCTTACTTATCTAGCTTTTTATCGAGTAATCGTTCACTGTGTGAGAAATGATCGACAGATATCACTATGAGCGAGAATTAAGTTCTCCCGATGGACACACCGAGAGAAAATTTCCGCCTTCTTTCGACTGCGATAATTTTGATCGATGATGATCCGGGAAATTAATCAGTGTATAAGTAACGCCCGTTATTGATACATCAATTACCGCTTTTAATTTGCTTCCAGCGACACGAAAAGGAAACGACTGATTCGAAAAAGAAACAGGTTGTCGAGAAGACGCGTACTCGTGATTAAATTAAAGGAGCTTTGCAATTTCTCCCTCACAGCGTTTTAGATATTATATAGTATGTGATCAATACTGTGCTCTGTGCACACATCGAAACAGGGTGGATACCAACGGATAGCAAATTCCAGCATTGGTAGGCATTGCAAGACGTATTCAGCATATATATGTACACCGTTTCTCTATGTAACTAGCTCGAAGGATTCGGCCAAGTGATAGGACGACAACCCCAAATCCTAGCCACGTGTATTTGAGATGAGAAGCTTGTGAAATGGATAGCATCTAACTATAGGGTGAAGCGCATAGAGTATCGGAGTCACGTACAAATAGGTGATAGGTGAAATAATCCTAATCACAATTTCCTCATTTTACAAAAGCGTGTTGTCTCCCCGTTGTCTGTTTGCTACAATAGCAATTAGTTGTCTCAATCTCGGATACGTTGACATTTGTCTAGTGCAACCAATCGGGAAATTTACTTTTTGCTTCAGACCCGCCGTAACCTGCCGCCACGCGATGCAGCGAATGAAGTGAGTAAAGTGCAATCGACATGGGAGGACAATCGGACGCTGAAAGGAGACTGGCTGCTGAGAAAACGATGCTGGACGATTCAGACAGTTGCCGGATATCAATGTGGAACGGGGAGCGTAAAATTTGAAATTGTTCACAAAACGTCGTACTACCCGGTGCATACTTAGTCGTAAATCGCATCGACTTCCGACGAGAGAAAATAATTAATGGTGTGCGATTTTTATCGGATCGTTATTCGAGATCTCCTTAAAGAGCATCGATGAGACGTTCCAACTCATGCAGACAATGATGCAGGAAACGTTAACTGTGCTTCAGAGGGCAGTTGTTGAATAATCTCGAGAAAAATACTTTCTTAATTATACGAGAACACGAGGTGCGACTGTAATCAGTAAAGAAACCGACCCCTGCGTCATGTTGTGTCGCACGGGTGTCGCGGCCGTAACAATTCCCAATAATAATTCATTCTTTTACAACTGAGGAGATGTTGCTTTAGCGACATGCGTGTAACCGTGCGCCCGCACGTACGGCCGGCTATGTCCGCTTTGGCAACAATACAATATTCGTTTTTTCGTTCATCTATCTCGTACGCCAGCGACTACCGTGGAATAAAAATCGACATTGCAATTTTTGTTTCGCACGAAAAAAAAAAGAGGAAGAAAGAACGACCCCGCGTTCTTCTCGATACGTCGTTAAACTGGGTTGACGAAGGACGACGCACCGAAATATAGGACGAGCTAATAAAGCTCCACTCATATATATATATATATATATATATATGAGTAGAGAAGAAATAAAGAGCTTCGTTGTGCCGCGTACCTTGGGGCTACCGCAGTTTCATCGAGGGACAAAAGGGACAGGGCCAATGGCGAGAAGTGAGGCGGGTGCGATATTATTACGCGATACGAACAGACCTTTTTTGTCGTTTGCTGCTAAGGGCGTCGCGGCAAAAAAGATCCCTTCGTCCGCAGATTGCGGCCGCTAGTATGCGGAAAAACTTAGGAGCTTAAAGTGGCTGCCCCGTTGCGTGCGCCTTAATGCAATGCATGTTGAATCCGTGAGCATCGCGTCGACGTCGGCGCGATGTGATGGATCAACTGAATATCGTATTATGTTTGAACTCGAGAGTTCTTCCCTCGTCGCGCGTTCTTTCGTGAAAGTTGATCCGTATTATTGGCCATAAATAACGCAGCTGCGCCCGTCGGAGCATCATTACGCGCGTCTGAAGCATTGTTCATTTTCTCCTCTTTCTCTCTCTCTCTCTCTCTCTCTCTCTCTCTCTCTCTCTCTTTGGCGAAATAAATTAAATCCTACTACTTAGTTAGAAGCGAGGAGCCAATTAAGATGCGCGACAAAGCGCCATTCCATTTGATCCCGCTACTTTCTATAGTCGTGAAATTTAATGCAGTGTTGCCATTACGCCTCTATACGTCCGTTCGCAAGTGGTAGTAAAAATTTAGAATGACATCGTTCCGTTCGCGATATAGTACATTATAAAAGACTCCGGCAGAGAGGCGGCGGTGCCCGCAAAAATCGACGATAATTCTCATTGCCGTAAAAAAGGCCAGAGTCCATCCATGCCGTAAACAATATTATTACTGCACGCATCGTGCACCGGCGAACACGATCGACACGGGTTTTCGCTTTTTACGATGACGTGGAATCTCGAAAATTCCACTACCCTTTTCGCTCGGTATTCTGGAATTCGTCGGCAGTGAGTTTATCGTACACGAAGTTGTCGAATGGCGCTCGTTCGCGAAAATGTTACTCGGCAGTGGATTTGCGAATTTTATTTCGCGCAAGTAATCATAATGAAATATCGCTAAATGCGCAAAATTGCAAACATCAGAAACACGAGGGTTGCACGTGTAGCAATAAATACAGCGACTACATATCGGCTATGGAAATCAAACAAATTGACCATTCAGTTGCATCAAAGCTATCAGAAAGTTCGGTTAACTTTTTTTAATCAAACGATAAATCGACTGTCCTGCACTGTACGAGCGAGCCAACAATTCCGCAAGCCGAACTAGGTCGGCATATTCGGAGATATATGTATCGCTGCGTGTAAAAGGCGAAAAATCTATTATCAGACACAAAATAAATATTCCAGCAATAACAGAAAGAAGGTCACCTTCACTTTTATTTCCAATATCCCGGCTGACGTTGGATATATCAAATTCGAAAATAATAACTTCCTCTCGGTTTTAAATAAAATAACAGTATCCACGTCGCGCTCTCTTTGCGAGTGAAAAAATTTGGCCGATACGTTCGAGGTGGATCTGTCATGTTCGTAATTATTTTTGCGTAAACGAAATGTAAAATTTACAGCTGCCAGATATTATGTAACGTTCCGTTACATATCACCATGTACAAAAAGAGTTTACAAAAAGGACAAAAGAAAAGAATGCATATGCATATGCATATTTAAAGAGGCCGCTTTATTTACGTAGCTTTATTTAAACGCGCAATGACGAATATTTGCGAATAAGAGGGGACGAGACACCTTCCGATAAATTTTATCCTATCTACTGTCCAAGTCCTTCCCAAAGTCCTTTGTGCTCTGACAGTGACCCATGGCAATTATCGATCGGTTAATGGAACTCACGAACATACCCCGGTGCGAAGTGGCCTTTTACGCGTGTCCAATGTCCAGAACTCGACGTGAACACATCACGTTCTAAGATAAGGCAATTAGAAGCCAATGGACTATGCAGCTTACTGTCAGTTCTCAGCCCTCCGCCACCAACATCACCACCGCCACCAGCACCCCTTCATTTTCACCCGCCCCTCCTCCCTCGCCGTGCCGTGCTAGTGTACATTTTCCGAAACCCCATAGAGACACGCGCGTGGGGCCGTTTGATGCCAGATGCTGCCGTGGATATTGGATAAAAGTTTCTCGGTTCGCGGAGGAAATAATTTCACGAGCCGCGCGCACGGCCAGGGCTGCTACCGCTCGCACCCTCTTCCCTCCCGTTGCGCTGCG